TACTTCAATTGTGCTAGTAGCGCGATACCTTAAATGGAAGGTGTAAGGAAATTCCCTTTCCCTTATTGGGCTCAACTACAGCGCGTACGCCCTCGACTCTCGGAAGTCCAGGCTTGGCCAACTTCTTCGATTTCGAACCATTTCGCGAACCCAAACCTTGACGCGCAGCGCTTCCGTGGCTTTCGCCAACCGAATCGCCCCAACCTGTTCGCGTGGTTCTCAGCTAGCTCTGTTCATGCCTATGAATGCCTAGGCCCTCATTTGTATCGACACTCTTGAATCACGACTCCTTTCTTACACTACCTGTTATTTCTCTGATTAATTCATAACAGCTGGTATCAGAGCCCCGATCCTGCCCGCTTAGTCTTCCGTAGAGTAGTCTGATTTTATCGGGAGAGGACCCGATAGAATAGAGGATTGGCCAGCGGTTGGTAGGCGAGCTCGTTAAAGCTCCTCCAACTAAAAGCGTTTACACCCTCAGATCAATTAGGTAAAATTTCCAGCATGACTAGCACACCAGAAACCCCTTCCCATCGTAGTGTTAGGAACGCCACTCAGGAGGAGTTTGACGAGCTGCAAGCCAGGGTGGCTACAGTGACGACACTGCAGGCCCAGCTTCAACAACTTGCCGATAATTTCGAGTCGCTGGGAAGCGAAGTGCTGGCGCTGCGCAACGAAAACTCGTCGCTTCGCCAGACGCGGGGTGAAACGCGTCAGGGGCAGCTTGTAACCCGAGACGAAGATTATGCGAGCGAAGCGAGGGCGTCGGCGACACCTGAACCAGTTGAAGAAGTCCACAGCAAGCTGCGGGCGGCCATTAAAATCAAACCTCCGATACCTCCACTGTTCAACCCGACCGACAGGACAACTACAGTGAGCGGGTGGCTGTTCGCCATGGAAATCTTCTGCACAGCAGCAAGTATTGATGACAATGCATGACGTGTCAACTTGGCTGTGTCACTGCTGAGGGGACCGACAGTCGACTGGTGGCGCACGCATAGACAAGGGAGGAGCCCCGGCAGGGAATCAATCAGTGGCAGATGGGGAGCTGAGTTCATCAACTGCGAAGGCAGAACCAAACTTTGGATCGGCCACGATCCGCACGTGGAAAGCGTGGGCCGAGGCATTGAAGGGCAGATTCGAGCACATATCCATGTGCGAAAATGCTCGCACAAAGCTTCGGATGTGGAGACAGTTGGGCTCTTTCCAAGAATACAAGGCGTCATTTCTGGCAATCTCCGCCATCAAAGAATATTTTGATGCGGGTGTCGCCAACTCTCCCTTCAACCAGCATGCATCCGCCGCCCGTTTCTTTGACGTGACGAAGGCGAAAAGATTGCGACTATAGCTGGAACGCTGCATGCCTGAAATCGACGCGAGATTGGTCGACGGCACACCACTGGCAAATCGGGAGCGAGTACTTCACATGCGAGTAACATGTGGGGAAAATTTCAGTTTCACAACGAAGATGCTGGCGACGACTTTGGATGGCTGCGACATGCTGCTGGGACGCGATTGGCTGCGAGAATACAACCCAAGCATCGACTGGCGGACAGGCAATTGTCGCATCAAATGGAGTGGCGAGTGGCGACGACTACCCAAGTGGAGCTGTCAAGACTCAATCACATCGACGGTCAGCACGGTGACGATCAAGCGAGCCATAATTAGGGGGCGCAACTGTATGCCGTCCGATGTATTGAACAACGGCTGTCGATATGCCAGCCAACATCGACAAACTCTGCACAGCTGTCCTGGATGATTTGGAAACGATGATTCGGAAGCACGCCAACATTCTTCCACACGACCTACCGGCGGGTTTACCACCTGAGCAAGACCACGACCACAAAATCGAGTTGGAGCTCGGCGCGCAACCTACTGTTCGAACTCAATGGCGGCTGACTCAGCCCGAGCTGGATGAACTTCGACGTCAGCTGGACTACCTGCTCGAGAAAGGTTTTGTTTGCCCCAGCACTTCACCGTTCGCAGCTCCGATCCTGTTCACCCCGAAGAAAGATGGCGGTCTACGCATGTGTATTGACTACCGCGCCTTGAATCAGGTTACCATCAAGTCCCACTATCCTATCCCATGTGCCGACGAACTCATCAACCAATTTCGTGGAGCCAAGTTCTTTTCGAAAATTGACCTGCGAGGCGGTTACCATCAGATCTGCGTGCACGAAGCTGACTGCTCCAAGACGGCGTTTTGGACCCGGTACGGAAGTTACGAGTACACGGTTATGCCTTTTGGCTTAACAAATGTGCCTTCGACGTTCAAGTTAACCATGAACGAGGTTTTTCAGCCGCTGCTGGATAAATGCATCACCGTGTACCTCGACGACATCCTGATCTACAGCACTACCCGGGAGCAGCATTTGAAGGATTTGGAAGCAGTTTTCTCTCTCGTGCAGCAGCACCAACTCATCATGAAGGGCTCTAAGTGCGATTTTTTCAAACATGAACTGGAGTTTTTGGGACATGTCATTTCTATCGACGGCATTAAAATCGACCCCAAGAGGTTCGTGACAATCCAAGACTGGAAGCCGCTGGCTAATCTCCATGAACTTCAGAGTTTTTTGGGGTTTGTGAATTACGTTCGCCGGTTCAACCCGAACATGGTGGGGGTAACTTCCCCTCTCACGGAACTTCTGAAGAAAGGCAAGTCTTATCAATGGGGGGGAGAGCAGCAGGCTGCGTTCAAACAGCTCAATCCTGACTACACCTCCGGTTCTTCGGATTGCAGATCCTCACCGTCCGTTAGAGCTCATCATCGACGTTAGCGATCTGGCTGTTGGCGCAACACTGTTACAAGACTTCGGCGAAGGCCTCCAACCCATCGCCTACGAGTCACGAAAGCTGAACTGGGCCGAGCGAAATTATCGTGTCCACGACAAGGAGTTACTCGCCATCGTTCACGCTTTCAAGGTATGGCGCTGCTACCTGACGGGCGTTGACGTGATTGTCCGAACAGACCACAAATCACTATAGTTCATCCGCGCCCAACCGACACTCAATCCCCGACAGATTCGCTGGCTCGATTACCTCGGTCTAACTTCCACTACAGAGTCACCTACAAGCGAGGGGTTAGCAACATTGCCGACGCACTGACCCGCCCTTCAGTCCACACCACCGCAGTCCTAATTATCCAAGCTAATCGGCTGTTAACTGTCCTATTCACCCACGAATACAGTACTGATCCATTCTTCACCACTAACAGCCATCCCCAACAGACGGACCAGCAAGAGGCCTATTACCTAAAATCCGGTACCAATCGGATTTGGGTTCCCGCCTACAGTACCCTACGTGAGCTACTGATCTAGGAGGCACATGACTTGAATTTCTCGGGTCAGTGCAGCATCGACAAAACCGCCAAATTACTGAGCCGAAATTATTACAGACCCGATTTGCCTACAGACGTGCAGCAATACGTCACCTCCTGCGCCACGTGTCAACGCACGAAGTCTTCATGGCTTCGACCTGCGGGATTGCTGCAGCCGTTCAAGCCACCCAGCTGACCCTGGCAATAGGTGACGATGGATTTCGTCACTGGTCTGCCAGCTGGTCCAAGCGGTAACGACACGATTCTCGTTGTCATTGACCGGTTGACCAAGATGACCCACTTCACCGCCTGCAAAACGATGATTACTGCCAAGCAGACAGCAAAATTGCTCCTCACAAACATCGTGCGGCTACACGGCATCCCTTCGGCAATCATCAGCAATCGTAACCCACAGTTCACGTCCAACTTCTGGACAAAAACCTGGCAGCAGTACGGCACACATCTGCATCTGTCCACGGCGTACCACCCGCAATCAGACGGTTAGACTGAGCGCACCAATCAGACGATGCAGCAGCTGATTCGAACAACGTGCACAGACCCGGTCCAATGGGAAGACTCCCTTCCCTTGATCGAGTTTGCGTACAACAACCCCCCATCGGCCTCGACTACTCAGTCCCCGTTCTTCGTCAATTACGGGATAGACCCGACAACCCCGCTATCGCCACCGATAGAAATTCCGGCACCAAGATCTCAGCAGTTCGTCGAAAATCTTTGACAATCTCAGCAAAAAGCCGCTAATGCCATCCTCAAAGCCAACCAAAGGGCTATGCAGCAAGCTGAACGACAACGCCGAGACTTAACCCTTGCCCCTGGGCAATTGGTCCTGCTCGACACCAGAAATTTGGGAATTCCCCTCCCAAATAAATTACGACCAAGATTTTGCGGCCCATTCTGCATCATCCACATGGTGACACCAGTCACCGCCCAGCTGCAACTACCGGCCGAATAGCGAATTCATGATTCATTCCACGTCAGTCTCCTGCGACCGTTCATCCCGAGTACGACTAATCTCGACCGTCAACACTACGGGCAACCCAGTACCTGAGCCGATGATCGAGCCATCCAAGATACTCGCTCATCACATACGAGGCCATCGAGATACAGGCGCCGTTGATTTCATTGTACGATGGGTCGATCGCACAACTGACGACGATCTTTGGGTCCCCGCAGCTATGCTCGGCGAACTCAAAGTCGTCCGGGACTATTTACACCGACGGCGTGTCCCCGATGTGGGTAGTCTCATCCCGGAAGGGGGGGTGGTGTACGGAAATTCCTTTTTCCTTACTGGGCTCGTGTACAGCGCACACCCCTAACTCTCGGAAGTCCAGGCTCGGCCAACTTCTTCGGTCCCGAACCATTTCGCGAACCCAAACCTCGATGCGCAGCGCTTCCGTGGCTTTTGCCAACCAAATCGCCCCAACCTGTTCACGTTGTTCTTGGCTAGCTCTGTTCGTGCGTATAAATGCCTAGGCCCCAGGGCCTACTTTTGGATTTTTACTACTCTGATATTGGGGAGTTGCATTTAGCATTACTCTGAAAATCAGAGTGCATCCTCATAGTTTCACTGATTTGCCAGGGTTTTTTTCCATTTTGAAAAATTTACACTGATAGTGCAGAGGGGAAATTTCCACAACTCTGTGCTGCTGTTATGCACCCCGACAAAGGTTTTGTGATAGACGGATAGACGTACGTTCCATTTCAAATACACATACATACATTAGTCACCATGCTCATCCTCGTCTCCCTCTGAGGCACTCTCACAAGAGCCACTATCCTCCTCTGACTCATCATGCTCCTTGCCCTTGGCAGCATCGCTGCTCCTCTCATAAGCCACCACTTTTGCCTGTCTGCGGTTCTTCTGGCGTCTCTAGATCTCCACGATCTCAGGGTAGTCCATGTCGTACTCCAGGAGGCTAATGGTCATCAGGTCGCCGAGTCTTGCATCACACAGGCTCGTCCTCAGCCAGCTCTTGACGGCGTTCTGCCTGCTGAAACCGTGCTCGCACTCGACGGTGCTCAAGGGCAGAACCGCCATCGCCTGCCAGATCCTCATGAGATTCGGATAGCTTTTGGCCCAGTCCCTCGTCTTCAGCATGTTGGCGAGGCCTTGGCCGAAGTCGTCATCAGCACGGTGCATCTTCATGATGTGACAGAAAGTCTTTAACTCCAGCTCAGCTGCTCGACCATCCACTCCTGTGGAAGCGCTCGGGCGGGATTTGAGATTGAGATATGGAAAGCGAAAACATCGATTAAGAACTATGGTGGTGTTGCCACCATTATTTAAAACATGGATACTTGGATCTGCATATAGCGAGGCGACATTGTGAGTGCTAGGGATACGTGCATGGAGGGACCGAAAACATACATACCAGGAAGCTTGTTGTCAAACAGCTCCAGGTTCGACTTGACCCAAGTGCGCGCTCTTCGTTCCCGCACGTCCTGCTTCTTTGGCCATGTGTCCACCTTGTACAGCTTCGACCCGGCCATCCGCTTCAGGTCCCACATCCTCTGGTTCAGGTTCTGCACGGTGTCTTCAGCAAAGGCGGTGCACAGCGTGATGCAGGCCGCCTTGGTGCCACCGTACTTGTGACCGGGCAGGGAGCTCTCCACGAGCTTGAAACTGTGCGAAACCGGGCGCCCGTCGTCATCCGCGCCGTGCACCACCACCTTTCCTCCATTCTCGTCATAGCTCTGCAGAAACTTGCTGAGCCGCTTGCTCAGCCCCGCGCCGAAGGTCTCGCCATACTCCACGTAGCGATGTTTGATGTACGTGACGGTGCGGTCGACCTCCTGCGAGACAAGGGTGATGTCGACCTGATGTGAGGGGGGGGTAATAAAAGCAGTGACAAGATGCGAAGAAGATAAGTTATTGTCGAAATTGAAGAAAGTCCACAATCCAACACATGACAACAGGCAACCGACGGCATGAAACACAGAGACCAACGGGATATGGGACAAAAACATACCGACCGCTTCTGGAAAAACCTGTTGAGCGTGTTGAGCTCAGCGAGGATGTCAGCCAGAAAGTATAAACAGAAGTGGAACTTCAGCGTTTTGACCACTGGAACCAGCTTGTGGTTGTACTCAATGAGCACAGCGATTACAGCGCCGAGGACCCTGCAGAGTCGATTCACGGCATCTCTACGAGAAAGCCACCGGATGTTGAAGAGCCCTTGGTGCTCGAGGTTCGTGTTGTGGATGATCAGCTGGAGCTCCTTGAACCTCTCGTACCACGGTGTTGAACGCCCAACAATCTCGCCGAAGCCACGGATGACACTGTCGATGATCCAGAGGTCGGGGAAGGCGCTGGCCGCATCCTTCACTGCAAGGGCCTCACTGCGAGATACGAAGAATCATGCAAGGTCGAGCAAGTAGCATGGATAACAAATAGTCCGACATGCATTGCCTGCGAGGAAACGGACTCAATCCGTCGGAGCTGCAAGGGGGAAGACAAGTGTGGCTCAACCTGCATGAGCTCACCGATGTGCAATACAGTGACAGCCAACGAGATGCGGAATGCGCACCCGAAGACGCGCTACCAGACCGTTGTGCTCTCCTGTCATGACAGACGCCCCATCCGTGCTGATGCCCGCCACCTTGTGAAGTTCGATGCCGCAAGAATCTAGGTGCCCGAGTAATGCCGTCTGAAGAGCTGCTGCGTCGCACTTGTCGAGAGAAAGCAGCGTCAGGAACTCTGTGACGACTCGCCGCTTCTTCAGGAACGTCGCGAAGACGATGAGATGTTTGCCCCGGGTTCTGTCAGTTGACTCGTCGCAGCTCAATCCGATGAAGGGTGATGCGTGGATATGCTGCATCTGCTGTGCTTTCAAGTACGCCACCATTGCGCGCACCATTTCCTTGAAGCCGTATCTGCACTTGGAAGGGCATGGAAAAGCCGGAATTAACTCGATGATTGATACGACAGCGGAGCAGTCGCAATTTCACCAAGAAATAGTACCAAAGATCATGAGGCACCCCGGTACTTACTGCGTGATGTAGACGCCATAAGTCTGCTTCGGAATGTCCTCGACACCCTCCTCTGCCATGAACCCGACGAGCCGCGTGAACATGGCGATCGGGGCATCCTCCTTGCATATGAACAGCATAGTTCGAAGTAGACGAATGATCCTCGCGCCGTCAGGGTCGTGCTTCCCGAAGTCCTCCATTTTCTTCTGATTCTCGACCTCCTTCAGCAGCGCCTCTTGCTTCCTGACGGCGTTCTCGTGCCTTGTGCTCTCCTCATGCCAACGCATCGAGCCAATCTGGAGATCCCGTCCACCAGCACCGTTGCGCCCATATCGTGCGTGGTCTTTGCCGTGCTCCATGCAGATACTGCAACGCAAGCAAGGTGCACCATCGTTAGTCTTTTCCAGCACTAGCCAGGGGAATTTCGGTAACCAGTCGGCAGTGTACTTCCGTTGCGCAGCAAGATAGGCCTTCGCCATCTTCTCGGCGGGGGTTAAAGCAGCCGAAGGCAGTTGCTGTGGCACGGGCTCTGGCTCTGGTGGTGGCGGAGACTTAGGGGGAGGCGGCGCGAACGGGAGATAAGTCTGGTTGAAGCGACGCTTCTTTTCTGAGGCGGACGCAGGAGTTGAGGCAGGAGTTGATGCCGTTGATGTGGACGCTGGGGTTGATGCAGTGACAACAGGTACAACTGAAGGTTCGGCGACAGGACCAGCGTCAACCATAGCCTCCAAATTCCTGTCCCATTCCTCACTACTGAGAGAAGGCAGAGGCTGTGGCTCAACTGGAGCGGTAGCAACTCGACGGAGAAAGTCGAGCCCGCTAAGAGGGAGCGATCTAGGAGTTCGCAGATGGACAGACTCGTCGCCACCGCCATCGTCGGGCTCACTCCTGCCAGCCATGACGGCAGTGGCACGAGTGACGACGGGCGGCAGCGACGGCGAAGGTAAGCGGAGGTTTTCTTCTGCTAGGACGTTGTGAGAGATAGCTTTGGTGAAGGGGAGGAAGGGAAGGTTGAACAAGACGAGAGTTTCGTCTGCTCTTCTTGGGGGTGTGTGAATTGTGGGGTGCCTCGGAGTGGGTGAGGGAGTGACGTCGGTCGTGCATGCATGGATGGTGGCTAAGGTCGGCGTGCGGTGGTGAGGGAACTGCTGCCAGCCTTGCAGTGATGCTGCAGTCGTGACCAACCAGCGCGAAGGATGCTGCCAGCAGTGGCAAGGATGGCAGCATATGACGTGCCACTGCCTGGCGGTACGCGTAAAATGACGCGTATTGCGGGATATTGGGGCAAGGCCAGGTACAGGGTACAGGGGAAATCTATAGGTATACCCCCTGTACACTAACCCTCAGAGGGGTACAAATGGTTACTCTGATATAATCAGAGTAAAAAAAAACATCAATTTTTTTACTCTAGGCACTTAGAGTAGTTTTCAAAAACGACTCTGATTTTCAGAGAAACAGAGTAAATTACTCTGATAAAATAGGCCCTGGTAGGCCCTCATTTGTATCGACACTCTTGAATCACGACTCCTTTATTTCACTACCTGTTCTTACTCTGATTATTTCATAACAGAAGGACGCATGTGATGACGTCAGCAGTAGCGAGTCAACGCGTGAACAGTAGGTTCGCGCATATAGTCATCCGAAGGGTCACGCCACTCTCAGTCACATGAACAATCACTAGTCATGTCACACGAATAATTGCGATACACTACGAATAGGCACATCCGAATGGGCACTTCCTATACTATAAATATGCATGCATTTCTCATTATCATTATCCTTGTCATTTCAGACATTCCAATACAAGGTGTTAAGTCTTCCGCTGACTTTTACTCGTGGTTCCACCAACTCTAAATCTTGGCCACCCTAAATACGTGGTTCATTTCAACACAAAATCTATCAATACGACCCCCATATGAGTTTGGCTCATTCGAAGAGAAACTCAAAGAGCTACCGTTTGGTGCCTTCAAAACATTTTTCCTTATGGTACTTTTATTAAGCCCATGTGCTTATAAAAAACAATTCGATTAAACGCCCATGTGATTTTTCAAGGGGTTCCATTATATGCACATGCGACTATATCCGGGTATATACGGTACAAATTTTCCACTTCCCGCACCTTCAGATGTTTACAAAGGCAGGCGAGCCATTCTTTTCCGCACACGTGGTCATAGGGTTATCCACTATCAAATGTTTACAAATTTATTAACATTCAGGGAATGTGTGCAGCGGCTTTAAGATGCCGAGAATTGATCGCATGGCAAAATTGATCGGCTTCAAAATCCTACTTTGAATATGTTTTAACATACCGTATTCTCCCGTATATAACACCCTATGGTATTGTCAAAATTTCATCAAAAAAGCGTGTGGGTGTTAACAGTAGGCTGAAATAATATAAACCCCATGTCTTATGTAAAATGCAAAATGAATCTGGGCTGTAACGGGCTCTATGAGAAGCTTGAAACACAATGTAGCTTTTAGCGAGGTTTGGATGACAGCCACTCACCTCCACTAGGACCAGACTGTCAATTATGTGTTGGCATTCTGCATTTGTGGCCAATCATAATCAGACGTACATGCAAACACGCTAGGGAAGCAGCCCCATGCTGTTGACACAGATTCATCGACGGCCAGGGGGGCATTATAGTGCCAGCCTGACATCGACGTGCCAAGGTGCTTGATCAGATTCCTTTAGGGAATCTGGTAGATGGGACCAGCATGCATGGTCCCATCGCGTTTTCCAAGATCGTGCGCGATTCGGCTTTGGAGTTCGGCCACGGTTCTTCTCCAACCTCTTCTTGCCGCATCGTCATTCTTGCTCTTCGATCAGCTCACTCACTCTCAAAACCTGTCGCAGTGCCCGGAAGAAAGTCGAAGTACCCAACGATGGAGCGAGAGATTTACAAGAAGTTCCTTGGGCACCGCGCGCGTGGGCTAGCTGTCTCGATCAGCACGCTGCATAAATGAAGCCGGAAGTACATGAGGAAGCACCACCCCTGCGTCGACTGGCGTGCCTCCTCACGCTGGACGTTCCGGTTCCGCGCCCGCTGGGGATTGACAAAGCGCATGAAGACAAAGATGGGCCAACGCATGACCGCCGGTAAAAGGTCGTCCCATCTCGTGGTCTTTCCCCTCTTGCCACACTATTTCCATGCTGCGGTCATGCGACACCTACTACAGTCGACTGAGTTGCTTACTGGCTGTTTAGTAATGATGCTCTTCTTTCTTGTATTGTGTCTTTTGATAATGGCAGACTGTGAAGCCAAGGTTGAGAAATTCTGGGAGTTCGTTCGGCAACTCCGCATGCTGAACGAGTACCCCGACGACCTGATCATCAATGCCGATCAGACGCCACTCTTCCTAGAGATGCCGCAGAAAACCACCCTTGAGGTCCGCAATTGAAGAATGGTTCATGTGAGGACGGCGGGGTACGAGAAGGAGATATTGACCGTCATGCTGGCAGTCACAGCAAGCGGCAAAATAGTGAAGTCGTATGTCATCTTCAAGCGGAAAACTCTGCCACACATCCGATTCCCACCATGTAATAATGATTTGTAACTGTTTACGCCTGCGTCCAGTGAATATTCTTTCACCATGATAACGATGACCACTAATTATCTTGCTTTATTTGCATGTGCACGGATTGTCATCAAAGCCCAGGAGAAGGGCTGGATGGAGGAGGCGCACGTAAAGGATTGGGTCACCATCGTCCTCGTGCCATTCGTGCGCACCATCCCTGCGAGGCGTGGTGGCCGTCAGAAGGCGCTGGTGGTCCTCGACTCATTCAAGGGACACCTCACTAAGGGAGTGTCTCAGTTGATGCGATTGTTCAAGCTCTCCCGTGCAGTCATTCTCGGCGGATGCATGCCTATCGTACAGCCTTTGGACGTGGTAGTGAACCACTGCATCAAGGAGGACGTCCAATGATCATACAGCGAGTGGTTCAAAGAGTTCGGTTGCGAGTCGACCACTACTGCTGGTGAGCACCATGTTTTGTTGTCGACGTGTATTCTGTGATTAGTCTTTTGTTGACTGTGGTTCGCATGGCTTGCGTTAGCCCTGTTATTTACTCAAGACTAACGATCGTGCTCTGTTTTTGTTTCTGCCTACCAGAGAACCTGCGCAAACCACCGGCCGAGCTTGTGTTGCAGTGGATTGCTGACGCGTGGGCCGCGGTGTCGGCAGAACTCATCCGCCGCGCGTTCAAGACGTGCGGCATCTCCAACGCGACCGATGGCACAGAGGACGAGGTGATTCTTGCCCACATGCGGGACGACGCGGAGGTCGAGGTAATGGACGATGTGCACGTCGAAATGGAGAAGACAGGGGCGCAAAATCCCTTCTACGACGTGGAGTACATCGAGTCCAGCGCTGCACCAGACGTGGAGGAGGACGAGCCGGATGTGGAGACCGGGATCGATGCTGCGGCTTCTGCCTCATCCTCTGGAACACCGCAGGCGGATGTCACAGGAGCAACAGTAGCAGCTGTTGAGAATAGCCCTGATCCTGCGAAGGTTGCAAAAGTCTGCTGAAGTGGCATATCAACGAAGTCTGCGGAAACGAGCCCTGCAGAAAGGCCCGTCGATAAAAAGAAGATTTGTCGATAAGGCGAGGCTCTGCGAGAAGTGGCAGAGGAGCAGTTTTTGTTGGTGGCAGAAAAGCGGTTCTGTCGGAGTGGCAGAACAGGAGCGCTTTTTCTGTATATGGCTTCTACATCGACATGTGCTTTTGTAGAAGCGGTCTCGACAGAATCGAGAGTGTACAAGACCCTCTGCTGATTTGGCACCAGGGGCCATTCGCAAAAGGGTTGTCCTCTGCCGAAGTATTGCGCAGAAGCCATTTCTGCAGGCGACCCTTTCGGCAGAATCGACTCTCGGAAATGCGTTCCAACAGGACCTCGGGCAGAGTGGCGCAAGGACCTGTTGGCGCAGAATTGCGTTCTGCCGAAGTTCGGCAGAAAGGCAATTCGGCTATCTCTTCTGTTGTCGACCCCCTCGGCAGAGACGAAATTCGGCAGAAGCGCGGCAGAGAGTCATCTCGGTCTTCACTTCTTCGAACGACCCCTTCGATAGAAAATCGGGGACTTCATTTTTTTCTGATGAAGGTGAAGTTTCGAAATCGCCATAAAATTGCGATTTCGTAAGTTGACCACAGAATCGATCTGGACCGAAAACGGCAAAATCTACCTGCGACATTGAGAAATTGAACACGTGACGCACATTTCGTAACTCGGGCAAAACGACGAAATATCTGACAGTTTCTCTTATAAATTATAATTCAGAGTATAGCGCAGAATACTATAAGGGGAACGTGATTACAGAATGATCCTCAATAATGAGGCCTAGGGCTTATATAGTGCGACTTGACCAGGTTGAATGTCGAGGGTTGGACCAGTCAAGGGCTCGATAGTCCTAAGGGTGACTCTAGATCAGGTTGGGGCCGAAAAGATCGACAAGGGCTAGTTTGGCGCGATAACCAAGGGCCGAGCCTGCGGACGCGCACTATTTGCGTGTACTCGCTGTGGCAAGCCCCAATAGGGAATCGTAATTCCTTACACTCTCCCACCTAATGGAAGGCACTCCCTTTATCAAGGTCGAACCCTTTATCTAAGTTGATCCCCGAAGTGACTGTTAGTCTTCAGCCCTGTGACAAGCGTAATGATTACGCCGGCCTGACGAGGTCTTGAGGTCGAACTGCGATCGATGGTCAGAAAGCTTCAAAACGATCGCTTCTAATCTCGGTCATCGAAGATGGTCGAATTCTTCTGGTGACCAAACGGGCAAGGGTAAATACTCTAGCGGAAAGACAATGAATAGTGAAACCGTCGAGTGGTCGATTGATGATGGCGCATGGCAGCAGAATTTCTTGAAATGATGATGAGCGAATAACGTGATGGTCGATGAAATGAAGAACCCGTTCGTCAAACGCAATGTCGTTCAAGTCACATGCGAGAGCACGTGTCTATGTCCCACGAAAGTCAGCAAACTCCATCAACGAAGTAACGAAATCAGGTGCGGAAGCATAACGATGACGAGTGTTGGTTGAAAATGGTTAATGGAACACGCCGGAAAGGTCGTCGGAATATTGCAGCACAGCTGCCCTTCTACCCCCTCCAAAAGAAAACAGCTCTCAATTTCCCAGGGAAAACTCCATAAAACCCAATGCGTCAGGGACGCTGAAATAATCCCACACTGCCGCTGAAAATCCCATAACTCAGCTGCCAGGATGCCGCTGCAAAACTCCAACCGCTATAATTCCCAAAGATGCTCCAAACTGGAATACCTCCGCAGGGTAAACCGCTCCAATGGTCTTGAAATTCCGCAGTTACTGCTCCAGAACACTCTTACACGAATACCAAAATTTCTTCCAAGGTCAAAACACTGCGTGCAAGCTGCCCCCAACATAGCTCCACAGTACCGCGGCCAATTGTCTATACATCCGATAATGCTGTTTTTA